ATTTTTCCCTTTCTACTTTCCATTGCTACCACATGGAGATGCTATTATTTCCCATCTCTTAATTTAAAAATAAAATAAAAACCTCTTTTGACCTCACTTAACCCTTCAACTATTGCCTCTTTCCTTTTGGTTCTTTACACAGCTCTTTATTTAGTTGCCTATACTCACAATCTCTACATGCCCTCATCCCATTCCCTCTTTAATCCACTCCAGTCAGGGTTTTATCATCACCAACCAATGGACCTGCTTTTTTTAAGATCACTAGTGACTCTACATTGCTAAACACCATGGTTTCTTTTTATATTATCATCATAGCATTTGATATAATTGATCACTTTTTCCTCCTTCCACACTTTCATGAGACAGAATGGTAGCTACCACACAGGCTACATTCTATCTCAGTATCTTTTGCTGTGTCCTTTTCATTGCCTTAACCTCTATATGGTAGTGGGCCCAGGACTCAGACTGTGGACTTTTCCATCAATGTTTTCATTGTAGCTAATATACAGTTTTTTTCTCTTTTCTATATACCTTCCCTGACTACATGTCATCTAATATTAGGACTTTGAATACTGTCTATATGCTGATGATTCCTAAGTTATATTTCTATTCAAAACTCTCCCATGCCGAAACCGGTTTGGCTCAGTGGATAGAGCGTCGGTCTGCGGACTGAAAGGTCCCAGGTTCGATTCCGGTCAAGGGCATGTACCTGGGTTGCGGGCACATCCCCAGTAGGAGATGTGCAGGAGGCAGCTGATCGATGTTTCTCTCTCATCGATGTTTCTAACTCTCTATCTCTCTCCCTTCCTCTCTGTAAAAAAATCAATAAAATATATTAAAAAAAAACAAAAAAAAACTCTCCCATGAACTCCAGTCCAATGCATTTAATAGCCCACTTTTATATCTCTTTGGATGTCTAATAGGTGTTTCCTACATGACATCGTGTATAAAACAGAATTCCTAATTCTGCCCCCAAACTGGTGCTTTTATACTCTTTTCCATCTCAGTTAATAGCAGCTCCCTCTTACTAATGGTCAGGTCAAAGATCTTGCTGTCACTCATCTCTTTTTTTTACTCCCCTTATCTGGTCTGTCAGCAAATCCTATTAGCTATACCAGTGGTCGGCAAACTCATTAGTCAACAGAGCCAAATATCAACAGTACAACAATTGAAATTTCTTGTGAGAGCCAAATTTTTTAAACTTAAACTATACAGGTAGGCACATTGTTATTAACTTAATTAGGGTACTCCTAAACTGGCCTTTGCTAAAAACGTCCTCAATCTGATTGAGGTATGTTCGCTGAGGTTGACCCCTTCCAACTCTCCCATCCACACTCGTCTTGTATACTTGTTTCGTCTATCTCCTTTCGTTCATCCTCTCTATATGTCCAAACCATCTCAACATACCTTTCTCAATCCTCGACACTACATCTTCTTTCACTCCACAATGTTCCCTAAAATTAATTTAATAAACTTTACTTTAAGTTTTAAGTCAACTTCGCACTGTACGTGCGCGCCCGCACGTGGTATTTTGTGGAAGAGCCACACTCAAGGGGCCAAAGAGCCGCATGTGGCTCGCAAGCAGCAGTTTGCCAAACACTGAGCTATACTTTTAAGATATATCTAGAAATTGAGCACTTTTCATTACCTTTGGTGTATTTCCAGTGTCCAAAAACATACGCGACACACAGTAGGCATGCAATAATAATTTGTTGAAAGAATGGATGAATGATGTCATATATCTACTCTCTATAATTTCCTTGACAATGTTTGGGCCATAATATGTTAATTTGATATCATCTGGCCCACGTGTTCCTCTCTATTCTCATATTTTGCCACTAACCAACAAGAATCATATGCTCCAAGTGTAGTGATCTGCTTCATATTTATTATGTTGTATCATTCCATTGTGCATTCCTCAATAGTGTTCTCTTAGCTTAGAACATTCCTACACATTAACAGTATTTCAAGAGTCATGTCAGCCAACAAAAATCTCATTCTAATCTAAATACTTCTCCCCTGGCGCTTGCTTACCTCAGCACACATAAATTCTATCACATCACAAACCACACTCTACTGAGGTTTGCCGGTCTCACCCTCAGAACTCTGAGCTCTGTCTTGCTCATCTTGCTTTGGGAATCCTAAAGTGTAGCACCGGGCCTGGCTTGTGGAATGCAATAAATGTGTGCAAATGAATGAATAAAAGGACCCCTCTGTGTATTGCATTTGTTCGTAAATGGACTCATAAAACAAGAGGTAATATAAAGATATTTTTTACTATAAATATGAATGAATGATTCTTTGGTAGCAAGACTTAACACATCTTTAAAGGAAGAATGAGTTGAATATTTGCTTTAAGAGTGGTTTATTTTTATCCCTCCAAAGTAATCCAAAGACAAGCAAACATTTCCTCTTCCTGCACAGTAATTCTCTCTCTTACCCTTTCTCTTTAATCTTTATTTTATTTTGAAAGAACACAACATGAGATCTATTGTCTTAAATGTTAAAGTGTACAACACACTACTGTCAATTATAGGTACAAGGTTGTATAGCAAATCTGTAAAGTTCATTCATCTTGCTTAACTTAAACTTTATAACTATTGATTAGAAAGAAAATATATTAAATGAGTATATTCTAATTTTATTGAAAAAAATATTTTTCAAAATTTCTGTGCCATATATTGAATTAGAAGAATCACCTTCCACTTTTACTACCATTCTCTCTCTCTCTCTCCCCCCCCCCCTTTTCTCAAGCTTGAGACAACCAGTTGTCAGCTCTAACCAAAATTGTACTGTAACACTACAAAGACTACAAAATGCTTTATTATCATAAGGTTGCAACTATTATGTACAAAAGTATGTGTGGGAAGAGACTGGAAAAGTAATATGAAATGCAATTCACTGACATTTACCGAGCACATACAGTGACCTACACTCTGTTCTGGATGTGATTACAAAGAAGGAACAGTCCCTTTCTTGGAGGAGTCCACAGTCTCAGAGCATTTACTCAGATTGCCGTAATCTCCTTTGATAAGAAACTGTGGTGCCACTTGCTCTGTCCCCAACTTGGAGGACACCAGTGTGCAACAAGAGTCAAACTTCTGGGGTTTCTGTGGCCCATTAGTGTTTATGAGCATCTAGGGAGTTACGGTGGAGAATGTCAACTGTATTATTAGTGGGAACTAAGGTTGTTATTGGGGTGGGAAGGAGAGGAGAGTTTTTGGTATGTAAGACGCAGATGTCCTTCTCACATGGTTACCAAAAACTCAGTGTTGCTATGTCTGAAGCACAATAACTGCAAAGGTCCTATGCAGAGAGCTAGTGTACGGGCAAACTGACCACTAGACCTGTAGTTTTGGGATGGTTCTTGGAGTCTGGCCCCCTTCTTCGGGCACTGCATTGATATTTGTTTATAGCCATCCTTTCCCACATCCAAGAGGAGCACAGCTTTTTCTCCTAAAAGCAGTCCCAGGAAGGGCTAGGCCGTTCGCTACTTCACATGCAAAGAGATTTAAAGTTTTCAGTGCTGGTCCTAGGACCCAAACACTAAAGGCTTATTCTGTCTCTTTCAGAAAGGGTCAAGACCTGAGAAGCACAAAGGTCTTTTTTTTTGCACAAATTGCTTTCCCATCTCACTTTGAAAGGGAAAGCAATACCACTACTTTCCATTGCTTCTGGATGTACTAGTCTCCACCTAGGGCAGACAAGAAAATTCCCTACTTCCAGATACAGGCTTGCAAAAGTGGTGAAAGACAAAATGATTGTTAGGTCAGTAATCAAGATGTTTAAATGATGCCACTGGGGCTCTTTCTCTCTTCTCTGTCTATCGTGGTCTTGCTTTCTTCTGTATGAACATCAGCCTGCCAGCCCATTTCAGAACAGCAAATCCCCAAACCCCTTCCCTTATCCAGCTCTGAGGATTCAGGTTTATAAGGCCCCAAGTAGCCAAAAGCTCAGCAAGAGAAAGATCCTTTCTTTCAAAGGGTCTCTGGGAAGGACGCCAATGGGCTCTGCATGATTATATGCCTGTCCCTAGACCACAGCTGTGTTCAGGAAGATGAGGTACTTAGATTGACCAGCTTGGGTTACACACCTTCTGTTACAATGCAGAGGATGTGAGTGAAAGCCCCACCAGGTAAGGTAAGAAACAACTCCTAAAAGGGAAAGATTTTTAGCAGACAAAACATTAACAAACAAACAAACAAACAAACAAAAAACACCAAAAAATCCCAAACCAAATGAACATGAAAAAAACTAGAATAGGTGTTTACTAGCTAGGGGGGAATAGTAGGGTTGACCTCCAGGTTTTTGCCGCTAGGTGACTGGTGATGTTAATAGAAAATGCAGAGGTAGAAGCAGTTTGAGCCCATATTGAGAGTTGAGTTTTTAAAATGTTGAATTGAGGGTGACATTCGAATGAGATAATATCTTGGAAGCAATGAGTCACAGGAGCATAGCAGAGAGATATACGTTTAAAATATAATTTTAAATATAAAATTGATTCATGTTAAGGTGCATCAGGGTATGCAGTGGGAAACTCACTACAATTTTTTATTTTTTAAAATACATTTTTATTGATTTCAGAGAGGAAAGGAGAGGGAGAGATAGAAGCATCAATGAGAGAGAATCATTGGTTGGCTGCCTCAGGCATGCCCCCTACTGGGGATCAAGCCTGCAACCTGGGCATGCGCCCTTGATCAGAATCAAAACTGGAACCCTTCAAACCAGCTAGGGCCCCAGTATAATTCTTAAGTGGGTAAGTTCTTTAGATTAATAATCTATATTGCCTATTTTAGAAATCTTCTAACAATATCAAGCCCCCATCCCCCCTCCCCCCGCCCCCCCAGAAGCTGCACTTCCTTCCAGTCATCTCTGGACTTCCACTGCTAGGCTTGAGTCTGGAGTCCAGGCGACCTAAGAGACCCCAGCGATAGGGTGTCCGGGGGCGGGGCCCGGTACAGCCACCCGGAGAGCGTTGGGGCGGGGAGATCCGGCGGCGCCGAGCTGAGGTGGTGAGAGAAGAGCTCCCGGATGTGGAGAAGCTGGGGAGGAGGCGTGGGAGGAAGATGGACTCGGTGGAGAAGGGGGCCGCCACCTCCGTCTCCAACCCGCGGGGGCGGCCGTCCCGGGGTCGGCCGCCGAAGCTGCAGCGCAACTCCCGCGGCGGCCAGGGCCGGAGTGTGGAGAAGCCCCCGCATCTGGCGGCCCTTAATTCTGGCCCGGGGGCGGCAGCAAGGGCATTCCCTTTGAAGAACATTTAAGCATCTTGGGGGGGGGTCCCGCTCATTGGCTGGGTCCCTGCGTGCGGCCCTTGACTCGGGGGTCTTCCAAAGGTGAGCACGGACCGGCGGGCAGCGCGGCGGGGGCGGGGACATCGGAGCATCGGGGGCGGCGGAGCAGCGGGGCCCGAGGAGCAGCGGGGGCGGCGGAGCAGCGGGGGCCGCGGAGCAGCGGGGGCTCTGGGGGGCGCTCGCTCCTGGAAGGGGTGTGCGGGATCCGGGGTGTCTGGGCCCCGGCTGAGAGCCCAGGGAGAACGGGCTCCAGCTTATTCCTTGTTCTGTAGCTGCCAATAGTCATGACCTGGGACAGTTCCCCACCCCGCCCTTGAGAATGCCCCCCTAAATGCCCCCCTAAATGGGGACATTTTCTCTTAACCGTCTTCCGCCGCCCCGGCCGACCTCGCTGGGGAAAGGAGGCCACTCCGGTGAAACGTCTGCGGCCATCGGTGAACTCCAGGCAGAGGCCACGGGGTGCCACTGTTGCTCGCGTCTGGTTGCCGCTGGGTGCTGCTGATCGATTGGGGAGGCGGCGGGTTCCTGAATGGAGGCGGGTGGATAGGCTTTCTCATTCTCAGCTCAGCTTGGAACACCTTCCCTGACCTTTGAAAAATGCTCAGAGCTATCTGCCTGTGAGTCAGCACAACCTAGGGCTCCCTGCATTTGTTGGTAGGTGAGCGACAGTGGGAAAGCGTACAGCCGGCTGTTTTATATGCTCGTAAATGGTTTTATCAGACCTTTGGAACCTGGGCTGCCCTGAGGACAGTTTTATTGTTCATCACATAGGGACGTTGCCATATGCCATAATGGTTAGGAGTTACAAGCTGATGTCATTCATAAAAGATGGGAGGTAGGAGTCTGTGCCAAGAATACATTTAACACATAGCAACTTCAGCCTAATTATATTTGAATGTGTTATTGTGGAGAGTAAATTATGTTGACCTTTTGATGTTTGGATCTTGGTTTTTAAAGAGATGGCTGTTTTTGAAGCATGTTACCCACATTTATATACAGGTATAAATTTACTAATTTCTTTAATGTCTTAATCCAAAGGAAGCCTGGGTGGAGAGAGGTAAATAGGATCTGGCACCCAGAAGATAACAGTAACGTAACAGGAAGTGTGCAAAGGAGAGATAGGGGTTTAGTTCAATTCAGCAAACATTTACTGAGCCCTAATTTCTGCTGTATACATCCAAGGGAATAATACCAGGGTGAATGTGACATGGTTCGTTCCTTGTGAAGTCCGCAGGCCCACGTTTGAAAATTTTTACCTCCTTACAAAGGGTATACACTGAAAAATAAGGGCTGAGATGAAGTGCATTCAGGCAGCAGTGATGCAGTAAAACCCTATTTTTGTGAAATGAACTAGAAATCAAAATTACAGGTTGAGCCCGGCCGGTGGGCCTCAGTTTGTTGGGCATCCTCCTGTGCACTGATAGGTTGCCTGTTCCTCTGTCAGGGCACATGCCCAGGTTGCAGCTCACACCGTTTAGACCCTGGCATTTTCTAATAACACCACCAGCCACCTAGGGGCAAAAACCTGGAGGTCAAACTCATTGTTCCTGCCCTAGCTAGTAAACACCTATTCTAGTAGGTGTTTACTTAGTAGGTGTATCTCATGGGCTTGCTGAGGGAATTAGGTGAAATAAAGTATACGCAGCCCTTAGAACAGTGCCTGGCATATAGTGTGTGATCTATCCTTGACATTATCCCCTTGTATTGAAGGTTTCTACAATCTTCATCTCTTCCATGGGCCAGTTTCCTTACTGGTAACATTGGAAAGTTATAATTATCTTCAGAGTTGTTGTTTTTTTAATTCTAACATTCTTTTGAGCCAAATGTGGCCTGGAGAGACCCCTGGTCTACTAAGTGAAAAGCTTCTTGTGAGCAGGTACTACCTTTCTCACTCTGGTACGCTTTATGTACAGAACCTCAATTAAATGTGCTGGTTTTAACTTAATTCACTTACTCTGAAGCTGCAGTTGGAATTTGGAGCAGCCTCCCTCTACTTTCTTTCTTCAACAAATATTTACCCCAGGAAGGAAATCTGCCTGATTTGTGTTTTTCAGGAGATTATTTGTTCAAAATAATAATTTGACTCAGTTGAGGCATAGTTTCCTGGCCTGCTCAGAATCAAAGCTAGCAATATTTTATTTTATTTTATTTTCAGAGAGGGAGAGAGAGAGAAACATCAATGATGAGAGAATCATTGATCAGATGCCTCCTGCACGCCCCACACGGGGGGATCAGAGCCCACAACCCTGACTGGGAATTGAACCTTGACCTCCTGGTTCATAGGTCGACGCTCAATCACTGAGCCACGCCAGCCAGGCTAAGCTAGCAATATTTTAAAAGCTACTAACTTGGATAGTAAGCAGTCAAGAAAAATACTGAGATAATTTTATTTGCATTTAGTAAAAAGCTACTGTTAGAGCTGAGTTTGTAAAAGCTTGATTTTCAAAAGTATAAGTAAACCTCAGAACAAATTGATTTTTTAAAATATTGCCTTACATACTTGTGAAAAATAAGCATTTCTTAGTTGTGGACTTATGACTAATGAAAGGCCTAATTGTGTTCTCTTTAAAATGGCAGTGTATGATTTGAAATAACTTTAATAGGCACCATTGTTGATATTCCTGTTTATCCTGTTAGATGTAATATGATTTTATGTGAGAATAAAGCCATTGACTTTTAGACTTTGACATTTACTCTAAATTTGATTTTAAATTTTGTTAGGCCTCTTTGTTCACTTGCTCATTCTTTCTCCTTTGCCCTTCCTCATCTGATTCCCCTATATCCGTGGTTGGTAAACCGAGGCTCTTTGGCCCCTTGAGTGTGGCTCTTCCAAAAAATACCACGTGCGCACGTACAGTGCGATTGAAACTTTGTGGCCCATGTGCAGAAGTATTTTGTGGAAGAGCCAAACTCAAGGGGCCAAAGAGCCGCATGTGGCTGCCGAGCCGCAGTTTGCCGACCACTGCATATCAAAGGAAATTATCTACTTACTTAGACCCTTTAATAATAGATGATGATCCTTGGATTTTAAGTGTACATATTGGATGCTATTTTCATATCCCCAGTGCCATTGCCTTATATTATACATACAATTTTGGACCTTTGATGGTCTGAAAGCAGAACTCCTGTTTTCCTTCCAACAGAGTCAGTGTGAGGATTAAATGAGACTGTAGATTTTTTAAAAAATTACCATTTCTATTTTATTATTTTGAATAGGGAACATTTATTTAATGTTCATTCTGAGTTGTGGTTTATAGTTAATCCTATAAGAACCATTTGAGGTAATTATTATCATCACCTCCGTTTTACTGAAAATTGAGTCTTTGGGAGATTATTGATGTTGTATAGAGTCATGTAGCTAGCATATGGTGAAGCCAGGATTTGAACCCCTTCCTTTAGAGCCCATACTCTCAACCATTTACTGTTTCATTCAACAAATATATATTAGCACCTGTTATATAGCAAGCACTGTAAAAATACTTTGTAAAAGATAAAGCATTGCCCTGACCGGTCTGGCTCAGTGGATAGAGCGTTGGCCTGCGGACTGAAGGGTCCCAGGTTTGATTCCAGTCAAGGGCATGTACCTTGGTTGCGGTCACATCCCCAGTAGGGGGTGTGCAGGAGGCAGCTGATCGATGTTTCTCTCTCATTGATGTTTCTAGCTCTCTATCCCTCTCCCTTCCTCTCTGTAAAAAATCAATAAAATATATATTTTTAAAAAGATAAAGCATTATAGAAAGTAATTATTGCTTCCTCACCTCTCCTTAACTGCTTAAAGGGGTTGTGGTACTGTGGTACTGTGGTACTGTGTTGGCCTCTGTCTCCATGATAGGCCCAGAATTTCTTAAGAAAATGGTCTGTGTATCCCCAGTGTCCAGACAAGTGCCTAGTTCCTGAAACAGACTATGACTAAGTACACATTTCATGACTGAAGGGTCCCGGGTTTGATTCTGGTCAAGGGCACGTGTACCTCGGTTGCAGACTCCTCCTGGCCCGGGCCCTGGTCAGGGTGTGTGCAGGAGGCAACCAATCAATGAGTTTCTCTCACGTTGATATTTCTCTGTCTTTCTCTCTCTCTTCCACTCTCTCTAAAAATCAATGGAAAAATATCCTCGGGTGAGGATTAAAATAATAATAATAATCAAAAAGATCACTGAATCCTGTGGTGTTGAATTTTCATACAGTAAAGAGCAGGATAATAAATGGCTTCAGTAATTTATTTCAGTTAGTGATGTAAATTATAGGTCAAATGACCCATGTTTTTGCTTTCACTGTTCACTTTTAACTACTGGTATATTCTGTTACCATCTTAGCACCCTCCCTTCACCTTCTCTATTTAAAAAATTCACTAGGTTTTCATTGGTACTTTGTTTTATACCTTTGACTGTGACATTTCTCCAGTGAAAAACCTATTCCCGATTACTTCAGATTTTGAGATGGAGGAAGACGGGATCCCTATGTTCTGTCTTGCACAGAGTGACGTGAGTAGGGATGAGACACTTGACCCCTAGCCAGTGACTCATCGTGTTCATTAGGATTCCTTAGAAAAAAATTGGTGGGGAGGAAGGATAATTGACTTTACTCTACATTTAAATCCTCCTTCTGCAAATATTAAAGGGAATATATAAAATGAAATTAATAAATGAAATAAAGAGAGGTCAGAAAATTTTCTTTAGTTACTATTTTTTCACTCTTGGCAATTGAACACAGACATTTGAAACTTATAGTTTCTCTTGAGAGAATGTTGAATAAAGGGAATAAAAGAAAAATATATGCATATGGCAACAACTAAGTCATTAAATTTACTATTAAAATTTTGTGGCTATAGTAATATTCACATTTGTTTCTAGCAGTGGGGATTTGTAAAGGTCCAGGAAACTTAAGTTCAATAGAGACTAGTTCACCTCTCCAGAATAGCTTTTTGATTTTAGTTATCATTCATTTAAAGTCTAAATGGGCAATTGTGTTAGCTGTGGTTAATAGAGCTGTTAAGCTACTAGTATACTCTCCTGAGCCAATAAGGTCCTGTTCTAATTGTTACCAAATGGATTGTAACCCAGTCTATTATGTTCAAATATTTGTATGTATACCCATTGTTAATTGGAGAAAAAAAAGAGTTGCGCATTTTTGTTATTTTGAGCCCAGACTTATCATGTAGTCTCTTCTAAGCTTGAAATTTTCAGCTTCATGGCTTGGTTAAGCCAAGTCCATCTTTTTCTTAGCAAGTATATTAAAATACTTCATAAAATATTTTAAATTTGGATGAGGAATAAGAAACAAGATCATTTTTGTTTTCCTTAGACTTGAACTTCTAGAGCTAGTGTTTTGCTTAATATACCAGTAGCCTTAAAAGTACCAAGTATCTTTATTTCCAATTTTATGAAACTATAATTTAGAGCTACATAAATGCTATTTATTAAATAACAATATATGTTGTATGTGGTGTAAATATTTCTATGTATAAATATAAACAAATCTAGGACATTACTTAGATATTTAAAAATACTGTTTAAAATATAAATAAATAAAAGTACTGTTTATATTTAAAATACTGTATTTTTTAAATTTTATAGTACTTTGGATCTGTAACATTTTGATGATACAAAAACTATTCTAAAATTATGTAAGCTGTATTTTAGGGTTTTACAGCTCCTTTTTATCTTTAATGATTTCTTTTAGTGATTTGGCTTTATTTATTTGTTCTTTTTAATATCTATACAGTGTGTGGGTTTCAACGGACCATGATGAAATTGAGAATGTGGCCAAACAGTTTGGTGCACAAGTTCATCGAAGAAGTTCTGAAGTTTCAAAAGACAGCTCTACCTCATTAGATGCCATTGTAGAATTTCTTAGTTATCACAATGGTATGAGTTTAATAGTATATTCAAAATTTTATGTAATTTATAACTTGCTTGTCAGTTCACAAGACTTGTTTTAACATTTGCATTTAAGATTACTGTCTTGCAAAGAACTTTATTCTGATGTCCTTTTGTTTCGTCTCTTTAAAGAGGTTGACATTGTAGGTAATATTCAAGCTACTTCTCCATGTTTACATCCTACTGACCTTCAGAAAGTTGCAGAAATGATTCGAGAAGAAGGATATGATTCTGTTTTCTCTGTTGTGAGGCGCCATCAATTTCGATGGAGTGAAATTCAGAAAGGAGGTAATTTGTTATGTCACTCTTTATTTTAGCTCATTTTATGGAGAATCAGTTTTTCATATGCAAATATTCTTTAGGAGTGAGGAGAGTAAAAAGGAGCAGTAAAATAAAACATGATTCTTAACCCTAGTAGGTAATGACATTTCTAATCAGTTCTCAATCTTGTGATTACTGAGGGAAGACAGTCAAAATTAATTCTTTGCTTTATTTTTACAAAGGAATATTTTAACCCTTTATTTGCCTTTTCAGATTGACATATAATTTTTCTAGATCAAGTACTTTTATGTTCGTTTTAGACATGTTTGATAAACTCCATATAAATCATATAGAATTATAGGAATAGAAAGCATCCACCAAAGAGTTTAGGTGGACCTCAATAATGAATTGTGTAGTTACTTCGCAAAATATGTTATTCCTTTATGTAAGAAGAGTTTCATAGTGTTTAGGTAGAGCCTGATTTCTAGCCAGATAAATTAGCAAAATATGTAATAAAGAATAGAATCACCAACAAATAGGTAAATATAACATACTTAGGAAAGGCATTGTGATTTCTGTTATGTGCCTTTTGTTGAGTGTAGAAAAGCTGGTCTCTAACATATGTGTAATTTAAGATGTTATTCTTTTGAAGATGTATCTTTAGCATGTTATTCCATTATCTTCTACCATCCATTGTTTCTTATAAGAAATCAGCTGTAATTCTGACCATTGTTTCTCTGAATATGATTTTCTTCAGACAACTTTTAAGATTTTCTGTTTATCTTTAGTTTCTATAGTTTGACTCTAATATGTATTATTGTGGTTTTCTTTGTGTTCACCCTGTTTGGAGTTCTCTGAACTTTTCATATCTATGGATTGATATATGTCATCAGCTTTCAAAAATTCTCTTCAAATATTTCTTTGGCCACATTTCCTCTCCCCTCTTTTTCTGGACTCCAATTTAAATGGATTTTAAACAATTTTATAGTGTTCACATGTCTCTCATAGTCTGTTCTATATTGTTTATTTTTTCTTTGTGTTTTATTTTGAGTAATTTTGATTGACTTATATTTGAGTTCATGTATCATTTCTTCTAACTTGTATTGTGTACTCTAAATTCTGTCCATTGAATTATTTCAAATACTGTGTGTTTACCTATTATAGAATGTACCTTTAAATTATTTTTTAGAGACCCCATTCTCTGTTGAAATGTTCCATCTTTTTATCCTTATTCTTCTTTTCAAACTATAAGAGAACATCCTTCCTATATAATAAAAGGCTAATATGCAAAATGTCCCCTTGGGAGTTCAACCGACCGGGGGTTTGACCACTCGCTATGACATGTGTTGACCACCGGGGACGGTGTGGAACAAAGGAAGGTCCCATCAGCAGTTGGGGAAGGAAGGCCTCAATCAGCCCTGATTGCCAGCCAGGCCTAGGGACCCTACCCGTGCATGGATTTCATGCACCGGGCCTTTAGTTTATTTAGGAAATCACAGAGGTAAAAGTAATTTGTAGAAGAAATAGGCTTAAGAAACAAGTTATAGAGGCAAAGGAAGGGCCCTTGGAGCTTAGAAGTGAGGAAGGTAAAGGTGACCAGACTGGGGGAGTGGGGGTGGTTGAGGGAGGCACTGGTATGCTCAGGGAGGGAGAGCACCTCATTCTTTTTTAAAAAAAATCTTTTTTTCTAATTTCTTTAAGATGTTCATGATAGTTATTTGAAAATCCTTGATTGTAACATCTAGGTCATTTATAGTTCTGTTCCTGTAACTTTTTTTTCTGATTAGGGGTCATGTATTTCTGCTTCTTTATATGTGTCGTATTTTATCATGTGCCAGACATAGAGACTGAAATATATATTATTTTCCTCCAGGGAGGACAAACCTTTTCTTCTATCAGGCTGATAGGATAAGGGGCTAATCACTTTGATCTAATTAGGAGTTGGGCAGTGTTGCAACTATAAAAATTCTTCTGGTTTCTCCTTATTCCAGCAAAGTTCCTCTGCTTATGCCAAGTTTGATCTTTCTCTTACCTCTTTCTCAGACTGAGCAAATAACCCCAGAGGGAATTCAGCCACTGATCCTTGTTCACATAGGAAAGACTTGTCCCTCTCTTTTCTTCAAAGTGCCACTTGAATTATCTTGTTTATTTGCTTATTGCCTATCTTAACAACTAGATTGCACATTCCATGAGAGTAGGAGTTTTGTTCACTGTTGTATATCCAGTGCCTATAAAACTATACCACATATTTCAATATATGTTTGCTGAATATTTTTCCAAAATATACCAAACATTGGGGTGGAGTTGAGCAGAGGATGGTTTCGTTAGGGAAGTATGTAGAGGTTATTCCTAGAAGCTTTTATATACAGAAGTGACAACCAAAAGTGAAGAAAGATTCTGAAGAATCTCCAGTTATTAAGCACACACACACAGCACAAGTATATACATACCTGTACACATCCACAAACACAATTTAGGAAAAACTAAGTGAAAAGGCAAAGGAATTCCTATATACCAGTACTGAGGGTGTCATTTATTATATTGTGTTATGATAATTAATGTTGATATTGCTGAGCCTTCATTACCAAGAATAATAATAAATGTCATTTATTATTATGGTTAGTTTCTTTTTTAACCACTGGTAAAAATTCATAGTACATTATATATTCATTTTTGTCACTATAAAAGTTTCGGTAATTTAATAGGGAAATCTTCATTTTTCTATAATAATTCCATGACTGTCATTTCTCAACCACATTAGCTGAACAATGCATACATTGTATTTCTATAGAAACAAATAATGGTAAATAGTTTAAAGGAGTCAGTTATTGATTATGGGTAGTTTATGGCAAATCCATTTTTTGACAACTTTAAGGTTTCCCTGATGTCCTCCCAAAGCATTATGTTTATATAAATACTTTAAAATATTAATTATGCAGAATTCCACTGTGAAATACTTTATCTTTCTATTATTGCTATTATTAGAAAACAAAGATAAGTCATCAGAATTATTATGGATTTTATTTAAATCCTTTTAAATATTTATCTAGATACAGAAATATTCTACATTCTGAGTTCATTTTTATGCTTTTTAAAAAATTACTAAATGAATAATTTTAGTATCCAAAGCAATGTGGACTTAATATAGCTTTTTGCTTTTAGTTCGTGAAGTGACTGAACCTCTGAATTTGAATCCAGCTAAACGACCTCGTCGACAAGATTGGGATGGAGAGTTATATGAAAATGGCTCATTTTATTTTGCTAAGAGACATTTGATAGAGATGGGTTACTTACAGGTTTGTGCCTTCATTTTAAAAAACCTTTGAAACCCTTTTGTGGTATACTTTGAGTTTCAGGAAGAGGTATGGCACAGTTCATAATGGAAAATATCAACCTGTAGAGCAGCGGTTCTCAACCTGTGGGTCGCGACCCTTTGGTGGTCGAACGACCCTTTCACGGGTTGCCTAAGACCATCCTGCATATCAGATATTTACATTACGATTCATAACAGTAGCAACATTACAGTTATGAAGTAGCAATGAAAATAATTTTATGGTTGGGTCACAACATGAGGAACTGTATTTAAAGGGCCAGAAGGTTGAGAACCACTGCTGTAGAGGAAAGGCATAACTGACAAGATTTACTATCTCAGCATTTATCCTGCAGGCTTACCCCAGACTGATCTTTGGGATTCAGTAAATATGCAAGGAATTCTGCTACAACTATCTATATATATAAAAGCCTAATATGCAAAGTGTCCCCTTGGTAGTTCAACCCACCGGGAGTGACATGCGCTGACCACCAGGGGGTGGTGCAGAACAAAGGAAGGCCCTGCTGGCAGCCAGCAGCCAGGGAAGGGAGGCCCCAGTTTGCAGCCAGCAGCCTCTAGGGACCCCACCTGTGCACGAATTTCGTGCACTGAGCCTCTAGTAACTTTATAATAAGAAATGAATCAAATATTGAATGTTCTACACTTGTCCTGGTATTCATATTATTCCATTCAAAATTTTAATTTATGGTTGTGTTACTGTCAGGTTGTAGTTGTACAGTTGAATAACTTCTGTTGCTTTAAAAAGAAACAAACAAAAAGTATAGTAAAGGTGAAACAGCACCAACCTGGGCATCAGGAAAATCAATTATAGTTCTCTCTCTATCCTTATGTAATCTTGAATATATTATTTTATCTGTTCTTGCCCTTATTTTAAAATAAGGAGGTTGGGTGTTTCTCTCATCTTTAGAGCCTACATGGTTACATCATATACTATTTTTTATTGTAGTTATAGCTATTACTTATTCAGCACTTACCAAGGACTATATGAAACACTACATAGGATATCTCTTGTAATCTGCATAGCAACAGAATAAAGTGGACATTCCTAGCCCAGTTTTTCAGAGGAAGAAGTGGCAGCTTTGAAAAATGAAGTAATTGGCTCAAGGCAAAAACAAGTAGTAAATGGTATTGTCAGGATTTGGATTCAGATTCTTATGTTACTCAAAAATAGCGTTAAAAAAAACACACCCTAAAACTCCACTCTCTCTATAGTAGAAATTCTAATGTGACTCATGCTCTGAAGGAAAAGTGTTTTTTCAATCTTCTGGTCAGTGTTTAGGCAAACTGTAGGCTGGCTATTTAGTTAAGTTTGAGTGTTAAAGAAAATTTGATTTGACAGATAGAGACACCACCCTCCCTAACTGGTTTGACCCTTTCCTAAAGTGTGAAGAAAATGAAGTCTTTCATCTAATTTGTGAAGAGACTAGCAATTCTTGCCCCCATATCTCAGGATCAGGAAACCATCCCTATCTTTGCCCACATATGACTCAGACAGTACTGCCCACTCCCATCTGGAGCACAGGGATCTAAGATAATTCTATACACTAGATACTCCATTTACTTTTTCCTTTTCTATCGTGTCCCTTAGTTTCAAATAGGAACAAATTCCGAAAACATTTGTATTACCTTTGAATTATGAGAGAGATTGCCAGAACAGAAAATTCCTGTGGTTAGAAAACTGGAGGATGGGTATTTTCAATTTTTGCAATCTTTTAAAGTAATCTCTCCAAAGGAAAATGAGAACTTGCACTGTGTAGATAAAAGTTGAAAAATGTTAAAGTTAAAAGAAAAATGTAAAAGTTATTTGTTTAATGTAGTTTGAATATATAGGAAATAAAAAGATAAGCTTTTCCCTCAAAAAAGGGATTTGTTATATGTCATTAATATTACTGGGTTATTCATTTTTCTCAATACTGTAGAAATGAATTCATTGTTCTATATTAGAAACTTTTTAATATATGTGAATGCATGTAAAAACCAGCACTCATGGCATTTGTACTATGTTTAGGGTGGAAAAATGGCCTACTATGAAATGCGCGCTGAGCACAGTGTGGACATAGATGTGGATATTGATTGGCCTATTGCGGAACAACGAGTATTAAGGTAAAAACAAGACTGATATGGCCTTTGCACAAGACTCTAACAATATTGTTAGTAGATATGTTAATTGTACTTATGAACACTGATTTGTGATACTCCAACCATCTAAGGATCTGTGTAATTCGTTTGCTCATGTGAGGAAGACATATACATAAACTATTCCTTTAGATGACTTATTCAATACATTGAGAAACACATAGTCCACTTAGACCATACTACTTATTCTCCACTGTAAGTTCAAGTGTATTTGTGAAGTGAATATGAAGGGTACTTCTGAATAATTGGATGGGAATGGGTTAAGTTTCCTGGCATTAGCCAGATGAGAGACAGTGACTAGTATTGCACTTATATTCAAAGGTCTATTTGGTTTCTTTTAGATATGGCTATTTTGGCAAAGAGAAGTTTAAGGAGATAAAACTTTTGGTTTGCAGTATTGATGGATGTCTCACCAATGGCCACATTTATGTATCAGGAGACCAAAAAGAAATAATATCTTATGATGTAAAAGATGCTATTGGCATAAGTTTATTAAAGAAAAGTGGTATTGAGGTATGTGCCCCTGAATACAGCATTGTTTTTTAAGATTATGATTCAGGGTCAAGGAATATGTAAGGGAAATGAGATATACATTTTTAATATCATCTATTAAAATATCTGAAATTTAGCCTTCATGTGCCTAGAAAATTATCATACTATTTAATTTTAGATGAACAAAATGTCAACCAACAAGTAAATGTTTATTTAATAAGTATGAACGTATTATTTTTATATAGGTGCTTTCTAGTTGCCATAGGATCTTGCAACAAGAAAGATTTAATAAAAAATAAGTGTCAGTATTTAAAAATAAAGCAAATATCTTATGAACTTTAAAATGTAGCTTATTCTTATTAAAAATTTTAATTTATAATAGCTTAATATTTATGTGTATTTAAAAAATGAAGGCTAAGATGATTTTTCATAACTGACTAGAACTCTTACATATGTGTTTCTAAGCAGCACAAGAAACATATTATAGACTTTTCTTTGGGTAAATTGAATTATAGGAGAATCTTAAATTAGCTTCAGACAGTTTATGTTGCACTTTTCACCTGTAGGTAGAATCCTTTCCACGGTAGAAAACTGTCTTTCACCTTTACAGGTCTACTTAGACATAGTAGAATTTGTCCTTCAAAAGGTCAAAGGACTACTCAGTTGTGACTTGTATTGTTTACCAAGGCATTATCTTATTCTGAAAGATTTCTGTTTCTCTTATTTTCTCCTTTTTTTTTTTTTTAAAGGTGAGATTAATCTCAGAAAGGGCCTGTTCAAAGCAGACACTCTCTTCCTTAAAACTGGATTGCAAAATGGAAGTCAATGTACCGGACAAGCTAGCAGTTGTAGATGAATGGAGAAAAGAAATGGGCCTGTGCTGGAAAGAAGTGGCATATCTTGGTTGGTATCTTTTTATTCAGCCATAATAAAATGAATCAGGATTAAAAAAAATAAAGAAAGAAATAAGAAATAAAATTTCCACAATTAGCATGATTATAAAGAAATAGAAACTCTCTTACACTACCGATAAAAGAATTAAATTGGGACAGCCCTTCTTTTTTTTTTTTTTTTTTTAATATATTTTATTGATTTTTTTTACAGAGAAGAAGGGAGAGGGATAGAGAGTAGAAACATCGATGAGAGAGAAACATCGATCAGCTGCCTCCTGCACACCCGCCACCGGGGATGTGCCCCCAACCAAGGTACATGCCCTTGACCGGAATCGAACCCGGGACCCTTCAATCCGCAGGCCGACGCTCTATCCACTGAGCCAAACCGGTTAGGGCGGGACAGCCCTTCTTGAGGTCACTTTAATAACATTTATCAAGTGTAGCCTAGAGGAGTGATTACCAACACATGCTGTGGAGTCAGACCACAACCTTGATGCCAGTTTTGGTAAGGAAAGCCTAGGTTTCCTCATCTGTAAACTGGAACTGTTAAAAGTACCTATTGTCATTGGTCTATTACCAATGATATAGTGTGGGTAAAGCATTTAGCAGATTCCTAATACATAAAATGTACACTCTGAATATTTTTAGCTATTATTAAATGTACATCATTTGTTTGTTTGTTTGTTTGTTTTAAATGTACATAGTTTTGACCCCAAAATTCCAATTCCAGGAAAGAAATTGAACAAATGTGGCAATAATAGAGGAAAAAAGAAATGACCTAAATATCCTACAAAAATAGAATATCCATAAAATTGAATACTGTGCAACCATTAAAAACAATGGTCAGATCTCACAAGTTTTTCACTTTAGTATTAAGCAAATATATTTATTAGATGTCTGCTATATGCAGGCTTTGAACTGGTTCCTGGGACTTAATATATACAGAACTTACAGTCTAATGATGTCAATATTTTAAATAACAATGGCAAGTTATATATAATAGCTATAAGCCATGTATGAAATAAATATTGACAAGGCTAATATGGGGGTCAAAAGCATCACAGAATGCTTTGGAAGCATATGATCTGGGGACTCAGGAATAGCCTTTGAACTGCATGTACAGATTGTATGGAGAAAAATACTATAGAGCCTTTTTTTAAAAATATTTTATTGATTTTTTATAGAGAGGAAGGGAGAGGAATAGAGAGTTAGAAACCTCAATGAGAGAGAAACATCGATCAGCTGCCTCCTGCACACCTCCTGGGGATGTGCCCACAACCAAGGTACATGCCCTTGGCTGGAATCGAACCCGGGACCCTTCAGTCCGCAGGCCGACGCTCCATCCACTGAGCCAAACCGGTCAGGGCATTATAGAGCCTTTGATAGAAAATGGTCCAGGTTTTGTAAGAAGAGAACAATTCTATTGGAACATATAACAAATCCCAGCTATACTTATTATCTGTGTGACCCTAAGTAAGCTTCTCTAAACCTTAGTTTTCCTGTTTATAATATATGCCAAAATGTAGTGACTGTTCATAAATAGTGGTAATTAGGATGATTTTGAATATTTTTGCCTTTATTTAAAAAATGTTTCCAACAAGATATGCATTATTTATATAACATAAGAAAAAAGTGTAAAAAGTAATAGTTAGAAAATTGGTAAAATAGAGAAGGAACTTCAAATTTTTATTTAAAAAGAGCAGTGTTTTATATGGACCACATAAATATATAACAATGTGTTCCTTAAAATATTGACACTTTTATATGTAAAATTTAGTAAGTAAAGCTTAATTTGAGGGATGGGTAATACAAAGAAATACCCTAATTTTAATCATCTTTCAGTGAAAACAATTTAAATTTCAGTACATTTACCAATAGGAGAAAATTTTGACTAGATAAATGTAGAAAAATATAAAACAAACTCTTAAACAGCATGTTATTATTTGTTTTTGCTCTGTACTATAGTAATAGTTATACTCAGAATGGGGAATCTAAGGTACTGGGAGCTTCTGAAATTTATTCTGTCAAAAAACGGGGAGTTGAGAAGAAGCAAGGCAAGGGGAGAAGGGATGTAGTTATGTTAGTTGTAATGGTAATTTTTCAACAAATAAGTGTTACTCAAATCAGAACTATTACAAATTAAAAGAGACTTACGACATATCAACAGCAGCCCATGGATGTGGCTCAGTGGTTGAGCATTGACCCAAGAGTTTGATTACCAGTCAGGGCACATGTCCAGGTTGCAGGCTAGATCCCCAATAGGGGCCTTGCAGAAGGCAGCCAATCAATGCTGTTCCTCTCTCAACGATGTTTCTATCACTCTATCCCTCTCCCTTCTTTTTCTAAAAAAATCAATAAAAACATATATTTTTAAAAAGATACATATCAAAAAAAGAAAAAGATACATATCAACAAAATGTAATATGTGGAACCTTTTTGGGTTCTGATTCACAAAAATCAACTAAAAACCAATTTTGAGAGAACTGAGGATATTTGAATACATACTAGATTATTAGGTGATATTAAAGAATTGTTGATTTTGTTAGTTTGATGATATTGTGTCACTTTTAAAAAAAATGTATCAGAGATAAATGCTGAAAAGTTTTGGGGGTAAAATATATCTGGGATTTCTTTCTCACCTCCAAAAAGCAAGGTGGCAGGAAATAGAGAAAAAATATTGATAAATGATCCAAAACATTGATAATTATTCTATAAGAACTTGAGGTTGTTGCATATATTTGAACTTTTAAATAATTCATAGTAATTGTAACGTACATGGCAAGCAGAAAGTATACTCCATTTTCCTCCTTTGACTGATAGTTTATTTGAATTGCTTAGGAAAAACCCTACACCTCAATTATACTTTTAAATACTCTAACATATTTTTGTTCCATCTAAGCTGTAGTATATACAGCACTTTGGGTTACTAAACTTACTAGAATTACTTATTGTTTGCTGTTTGCATCATTTGGAAAGAATATTCTTTGTCTCTTTAAATGGTCAACCAGTGTTTCTTTTCTGTGGTAGGAAATGAAGTGTCTGATGAGGAGTGCCTGAAGAAAGTGGGCCTAAGTGCTGTTCCTGCTGATGCCTGTTCCACGGCCCAGAAGGCTGTCGGGTATATTTGCAAGTGTAATGGTGGCCGTGGTGCCCTCCGAGAGTTTGCAGAGCACATTTTCCTACTAATGGAAAAGGTTGTGAATTCCTGCCAAAAATAGAAGTTAGTATAATGTGGGGGGAAAGTATACAGCCTTCTTCAGCTATTTTACTTTTATTTTTGATTAAGTACAATTCCATGTTTTAATGTTATAGACAATGTGACTTGATTTGTGATATATCTTCATATCTTTTAAAGCAAAGTCTTCTCAAGTTGTCTCTCCAAAACCTTCTGTGAAATAATTGTGCTGTACTTTTCTCTTTATGCAAGATAATTATTTAGAGATTGATTTACAGTCTTTCTCACATTTTTAGTAAATGCAAGTAAGAACATGATCAAAATTGACTTTGTATTGTACCCTGTAAAACTGTGTGTTTGTGTGCTTTTGATGATGCTGATATTTTATTTATTTGGGGGCAGTGTATCTGGTAAGACATGCTCTTCTATTAATTAAAAAATACATTTCACAGACTTGATGAAAACTGCCTTGTTGCTATAGAAAAAATTTTACCGAACATGCTCTGATTCCTTTAAACACTGACCGTGCAATGAGTGTGAGAAACAAACCACTAACTACTGGGTGTAAAACTCCTGATTATAGCACATATACAAAGTGCAGATAATCCGAAGAATTGTTGTGAAGATTGTTTGCAGTTACCTTGAGGTCATGGTAATTATGTATACTAAATTTGGCTCTCATCACAATTTTATAGCCACCACAATTACTCTCCTACCTAGTTAGATTCTAAGAATCGGACATTATCTCATAAATATGGACATTTACCTAATAAACTAACCATTTCCTGTGGGACATTTGCATCTATTTCAAGTAAAACAACAATTTATGTAAAACTCTGGCAAGAAGCAATTCATTCAGGCCAAGCTTTGCTGGAAGCTGTTTTCCTTTGTCACACCTAGTTAGATTTGTACAGTTCAGAGTCTGCCCCCTATAAGCCAGACAGACATTGGGAGAAAAGAAGGATTATCTTTTATCTTAATCTTCTTACCATCTTGTCCTGGTTTTACTCCCATCTTTCTGGCTTTTCCACAGCTGACTATTTTCTCCTATCCCTTAAATGTACATATCGCAACGGTTCTAACCCCAGTTCTTCCCAGAGACCACATCTCTATTCAGTTTCAGCTGTAGCCTCCATGCAGATGACTCCAAATCTAATCTCTGCTGTGAGTTCTGGTTGCACTTCAAACTCCTCATGAGCCAGACTCCTGGACTTCACCTCTCAAATGTCTGATTTTATCATTGAGAAATCACAGTCTTTCACTATTTTTCCTTTTCATCTCTAGTCAGACAACAAATCTTGAGCATGCTTCAACTTACTACTCAGTGTCCATTCAGTTTATCCAATGTTATCATTAGGTTTAGTTGTCCACATTTGCTGCTATCCTTACAAAATTTTTTAGTGACTCCAGGCTGACCACAGAATGTGGTAAAACGTTCCTCAGTCCAAACATACTCTAGACACAACCTAATATTTCCAGCTCGGTTCCTACTGATCCTGAGGGTCCCTTGAGCTATTCTGTGTAATTCTCCTACAATGCCTTCTATTCTTCTTGAGTCCTACCTTTAACCAATACATAAATCACTCATTCCTCAAAAAGCGCCTGCCAAAATACCTCCCAAAATAAATACTGTGCATAGTATAGATTATACTGGAGTTCTTGTTTCATTTCAGTGACCCAAAGCCAAGTATAAGAAGACAATTAACTCCTCATTGTGACTTCTATTTCCTATATCCCTAATAGTACTGCATCTTAGTAAAAAAGACACGTTCATCTCTGATACGTAAAGAACTTAGAAGTTGCCAATCCCTTCCTTGAAACAAGAAAAACTGGAAAAACTAAATAACTTCTCTGAACTGAAGTCAGAGGGCAAACAACCACTCCAAATCTGAAGAGACAGGTACAGCCAGAGAGATACCACACCTGACACTTGTTTACCTGGAGCAACAGCTGCTTGGCATAGCTAATCAACACTTAACTATAATTTTGGTGAATTGCTAGAGGTTGAGTGTGGACTAATGTGAGAGCAATAAACTCCTGAAGTCCATAGTCATGGGGGGCCAGGGAGACTTCCCTCAGAAATGCCAGCAGGTTCTCTCAAGATGGATCTGAAGATCTGAGGAAATTTCCCTATGGTCCTGACAGGAGGGGAGTAGCCATTGTGAAACTCTCCCAGACTCTTCCTAACAGAGGCCTACTCTCCAATAGGAGGGACATCTCTCCAGAAGGCAATACTGAAAACTTACCCAATTGGGAGAAGGGAACTCTGCTCTATTCAAGCCAATCCAGCCTTCCTCTCACCTAAAGGAGGGGAAAACGCCCTAATCAACAGAAAGGAGAGGACACCAAGGAAATAGATTGGGAATGCTGCAGGCAGGAAAGAAAGTAGGAGCAGGGGGTAGAAAGCTGTCCCCCAAGAAACGCTAGTGAAGGCCATACTCCCAGGACAAGCCCAGTAAAAGACCAAGACGTAGGCTTCTCTTTCACACCCTGCACCACACCAATATGCAGCCAGTACAATAACAGTGGTATACAGCTGAAAAGGCTACAGAGCACAAACTTTTACTGAGAGGCAATACAAAAGTCCCCAAGTAAAAACTAAGGACTCGGGGAATTTGAAGTCTCTGGTAGAAGAAACATTAAATACAGCCCAATTCCCAGTAAGATTAGTGAACACTAAAGACCAATTTGTCTTGGTACCTACTACCCAACAACATAACTGACTTTCAACAACAATAAAAAGTTATAAAGTACATCAAAAGGCAAGAGAAATCAGTCTGAAGAGAGAGCAGCCCTAGCTGGTTTGGTTCAGTGAATAGAGTGTTGGCCTACGGACTAAAGTGTCCCAGGTTTGATTCCAGTCAAGGGCACATACCCAAATTGTGGGCTTGATCCCCAGTAGGGGGCGTGCAGGAGGCAGCCAATCAATGATTCTCATCATTGATGTTTCTATCTCTGGCTCCCCTCTCTCCCTTCCTCTCTGAAATCAATAAAAATAGATTTTTAAAAAATAATAAAAATTGAAAAAGAGAGAGGGAGCATTGATCAGATTCAGACTGTTAATGTAAGAAACATTCAAATCAGTAAAGAATTTTTGCGTTTATTTGAGCCAAACTCACAAACATTGAGATAATGCTCTGGAGAATGGTGGCTTTTCACCTATTTTTATAAATTACTATCAAAGGAGGAGACATAAGTAGGTTACATGAACTCCATTGGACACTAATCTCCCTCTCGGAGTCTACTTCTCAATATGGGAAACAAGGAAATATTTCTGTGAGTAAGTGACTGAATCTACAAAAGAATAGATCCTGTGCCAATCTGATAAAATAATGACTGTTACTGTAACTGGACAAACAATGGTTCTGTGCTGTCACTACTTGAGCCAATTCAGTAGAGACAGGGTTGAATCATATATGAGCGTTCATTCAAATACTAGAGGCCCCTTAGCCCAGCCTGCACCCTCTCCAATCTGGGATCCCTCAGGGGATGTCCGACTGCCGGTTTAGGCCCCATCCCCAGGATCAGGCCTAAACCAGCAGTTGGCCAACCCTCTCACAATCCAGGACCACTGGCTCCTAACTGCTCATCTGCCTGCCAGCCTGATCACCCCTAACTGCCTTTGCCTGCTGACCTGATCAACCCTAACTGCCCCCCCTGCCAGCCTGGTCGCCCCTAACTGCCCTCCCTGCTGGCCTGGTCACCCCTCATTGCCCCCCCTGCCAGCCTGGTTGCCACACACAGCCTGCTGTTCAGTCGTTTGCTCATCCCTCACTAACCCCCCTGCCAGCCTGGTCGCCCCACTCAGCCTGTTGGGTTGTCCGTTCGGTTGTTTCAGATATGATGGCCCCTGGCTTTTTATATATATAGATTGCTGGCAGTATGGGAGAGCAGCAGGTCATCCACAAAAATCTTCTCTGCACCCCACCATAAGCTGGCTGCTTATATTGGTAGAAGAACAAAGATTACATGGAAAAGTAGACTAAAGAGCAAATGGACAGTGTACAGATATGCAAAAGAACTGGGGTCTTCAAAGGGCTTAGAGATATGCAAGGGCTGGGGTACAAGGGGACATAACCAAAGGGTATGCCAAATGGGCAGTTAACAGGTAAGCAGAGAGCTGGGGATCTTCAAAGGGCTTAGTGATATGCAAGGTCTGGGGTCTTCAAAGGGCTGGCAATTCTGGTTTCTGGCTCTGGTTTCTGCAACAAAGTTGTTCATCTTTCCATGATAATAGGCAGCTCCAAATGGGGAGGAAGGGCTAAACTTCCAGGTGAGCTCCTAGGTCCTGAGTGAGGCTGCCAGCCAGGTTAGAATGTGCCTTCTTTAATCAAAACAACCACGGTTAACAGCATGGTTAATATTTCTTACAATTCTAGCTGATTCTCCAACATTCTATTTCTGCTCCAATCATTACCTGAATTGTTCATTATTTCCTAATTGTTTAAAGGACCAAGTGTGACTATTGTGAAATCTTAACAGTCTCTGTCCATACATTGTTACAAATCGCTTTCTCTAAATTTAAAAGTTTTTGTTAGAATGGCACCTTTGATGACCTGGTACTCTTCTCTGCCTGAACTGGTTGTGGAAGTTGTACTACTAAAAACACTACTAAAGGATTTTGGTTTGTCCACATTTTGTTGATGATATTCCTCATGCAGGACTATTTCATGCTTCATTATTGAATTTTTCTCAAATTGTAAAGGTAAAGTAGATGCAATGTTAAGTATTTGTATGCTTGGGAAAACACATATTTTTAAAATCTCAGTGGTTAACATTTTGGCCACTGGGTGTCATCACGGATCTAGTTTTTAGAAAGATGGAGTTTTAGGCCTGCTGATTAGAAATAACTAATAGAGTCTAATAAGATTTAAAAACATTTTTATTGTTCAACCTTTATACATTAAACATTAATATGCACTAGAAGAAAGTATGTGTAAAGCACACATTCAGTATTTTTTTTCTTCACAATAAACCACATGGAAATAAAGTTTCTTCTAACAGTGATTGTGGTGGCCCTTGAGTGGGTGGGGAAATGGGGCAGGAGGCTAAGGCTGAATGACACCAGGGGAACAGTTGCACGACTGCCTTATTAGATGATCAAATCCAACTAAATAGAGAGCTGTATTCCCAAAGCTACCCAGCTCTGTCCCTGGTTACCTCAGGCCACAGAAATGACCTGTCTTAACTTCTTTTAATCCTCAGAACCCATATAAAGTAAGTACTTTTCCTCCATTTTACAAATGGAGAAATTGAGGTACAGAGAGGTTAGTATCCTCAAGATCAGATACGAGATGGCAGAGCCAGAATTCGAAACAGAGAACATTCCTACGGGTGGCTGATTATACCTTTGGTGAAAGCCTGGGCAGTGTTTTCAGAGTATGATGGTCCCTCAATCACCATCAGAATGGTATAGAATCATCCTTAAATATAATACTTGTTTAATATGTAGAGTCCAGTCGCATCTCAGAAACACTGAATCAGAACCTCTGGGAATCTGCATATTAGTAAAATTTAGTAAAATTTTGACTTTTATGCACACTAAATTTTGAGAATCCGTTTGTTAGTGGAGAGAAGTTGGGGAGACCCGGGAAAGGAGGATGGGCCTCGGAAAGTATAACAGGGATGGAATCTAGGTTCAGGAAGCACCCCATACCCACGTTAGTAGATACTACCTGTGCATTGGAGACCTTCCTGGTTACCACCTGGCCTCAGTGGTCCCGTCCCATCTCAGCCCTCACTCCCCTGGACACACACCTGTTCATCTGTGGACGCTTCCTCTAACTCAGGGGC